CCGGGCAACAAAAGCAAGACTCTGTCTCAAAAAAAAAAAAAAATACATGGTGAAAGACAGGTCATCCTGCAGCCTACTTCTTTTGTAAACAGAGCTCAGAGCCACATCAAAGGCAGCCCAGAAAAGAGCTACAAGGAAGAGGGCACAAGACAGTGACCTTGGCTCCACAAGGAGCTCTGAATGTAGTCAGGTTAGAGTCAAAACATTTCTCCCTTGAGAAAACAACAGGTTTACCTACCTGTTCTTGAAGGAACAATTCATTGGCAATATGCACTATTTTTTCCACGGCAATGATGCTTCCAATGCTATGAATTTCAATATCTGCCAGCATGGTGAGAACAAGGATGGCTTCAACCAGAAGCTGGCGGTACTCTGGCTGAGGTACACGATTCAGGACAGACTCCACATGAACAGAGAATTTAATCTCTCCTGGAGTCATCTGTGTGATAGAGAAAAAGAAAATCACTTCCTAAGAGCCCATCATCCAGGAGACATTAATCACTTGCTCTGAAAGGCAATAAAAACACTGTAGCCAGGAGTACTGCTTCAGCCCCCTTTAAAGTAATTGAGTGAGTAAACTGGTTCAATCTTTTTGGAAAGAAATCTGGCAGTGCATAACAAAAGTCATAAAAGTGTCAAATCCCTATAACCCATAAGCCTATTTCTGAGAGTTCATCCTAAGGAAGTAATTCAAAAGAGGAAAAAAAGCTCTATATGCAAGAGTATTTATAGTAGAATTAGTCACAAGTGTAAAACTAGAAGTAACCTAAACATGGGAATGGTTGTATAAATAATGGCCTATCATGGCATAGCAACTTCATAAGTTTTTATAGAGTCATTTAAAAGAATAAACAGATGACTATGAATAAAGGAAAAATTTAAGTAAAACTTAAAATTGTACGTACATGATGATTAGAATTACGAAAAACATCCACATGCTGCTAGATTAAAATGGGCATTAAGAAATGTAAAGAGGCCGGGCGCGGTGGCTCACGCCTGTAATCCTAGCACTCTGGGAGGCCGAGGC